TTGGAACCTCTTGTAAGCTACCACCTCTCGTAAACGACCGCGACCACTTTTAGGGCTAAAATTTTGAAAGTTTCTTTTGTTTTTGACCTCCCGTATTAGCGACGGCTTGAGAGATGATAGAGCCAAAACTGGATAGTAATTAGTAAGGTGTTGTAACATTTTTTATCGCATTCCTGGGTAGCACAAGAGACAGAAATTTCTCAATGGGAAGTACCGGATTTTTTGTCGAAATTAACTTTTCACATGAATAAAACATTTAAAACATGGGGTAAGTCTCTGCAGTTACCATATGCTAATGAGGCAAAATTTTGACCCAATGGTCTTAGCTCTCCTAAGCGACCACCTCCCGTAAGCAACCACCTAGGCTTGACATTAATTAAGGTTGGTCGCTTACGGGAGGTTCGACTGTATTTTGTTTGATACCAAGAAAGACTTTCATCCTTGGATTATTATTTTGCAATTTTCATTTTTTGCGGGAATCTCAGAAAACAACTCGTCTAAGGACTAAATTGAGGCTGTACCAATAAAAGACATCCTTAAAAATATGCTGACGGGCGTGAGAATTCTAAAGTTTATGAAACAGCGGGGAAACGTTTTAAGAGACTGACAATTCCGTGTGTTATTCAAAACACACACAAAAAAACAAAGAATAAATTGAAACTTAAGTATACATTTTTCAAAAAATGGTTAAAATTTATGAAAAAAAAATCAGTAGCAAAAAGAAAAAAAAAGAGATGTAATTAATCATGTCAATCAAGCAACTCTAAAAAGAATATCTCTTCGAATTGTATTACTTAGGTTTGGCGTTCCACTTTCTAATTTTTTACACATAAGGTTTGCGTATAATAATGTTACAATATTGTCGACTGTAACATCACGTGTGCAAAGGTTAACTCTTTGCATTGTTAAAAAAAATGATAAATAAAAATAAAAATAAAAACTATAATAAAGCTAAACACATTTATTCTTCCCACTCATAGTTAACCTATCAAACTTCTATCATTTCATTATTTTTTTGGCCATATTGAGATCTCCCGAATGATCACCCAATGTTTTACTTCTGAAAGTATTTCCATTTTCAAGCACTTTGCAGGAAAGTTTACAACATTTTCCAAGTTTTTTGCGTCCAAAATGGGATCTAGAAATTGGCCGATTTTCGTGCACTGTGATTGGTCACAAGTGTTCGTTTCTGTGTTTGTTCCGCACACCATCAGAGCCGCTTCAGTGAGTGAATCTCTATACAGTGGGCTGCCTGTGGTTATGAACACACGTGACACCTTGAGAGGTTCTTTGAACTCCATGATAAAGCCATCACCTGCTTTTGGCGTTTTGAGCCAAGCGAAACCTTCGTTCTCGTAGAAAGCTTTTTCCAGTTCATGCCCCCCTTCAAACATTAAGCCCTTCGACTTAAATTCAACTTCAGGTTTTACACCGCGAAGTCGAGTTCCCATTTTAAACAAAATCTGTTCAAAATCGTCCAGGTGAGTCACTGTTGCAGTCCCTCTAAGAAGTGTGTATACGTCCAATATTTCGGAAGGCAGACGACCTGCGGGAGAAAGGGCGCCATATTCAGACAGATCATCAAGCATTGCCGCGGAATGTAACCGTCCAAGACCCGGTAGGAAATTCTCCCCTATATCATGTGCGTACAAAGAAATGTTTTTCTCTTCGAAATTATGAATCATTTGTTTGATGACTGAGAAATACGGCTTGATAGCACGGGCGTGATCGGTCAGATGAAGGTAGTGTTTGGACATTCGATAGCAATATTCGAAAAGAAAACACATCCTCTTATTGAAATCCGTTGTATTCTTCTTGAAAATGTCAGTAGCTGACGTCACACTTCTCCATCCCAGAGGCTCCCTGTTGACTTCCCTCAGGAAGTCCTCCGTGGGGTAGATAACCTGGATGAGGCCCCTATCGAGTTCGTTTTGAAAACCTCCTGTTATCTCTTGTATAGCAGCTGCGTTTTGATCTTCCTCCAAAACCACGACAATAACAACTTCTGGGTACTCCGCGGATGAGATGTGTCTTGTCAAGGAATGAAGAGCTTGCATCAGATTTTCTTCTTCACCTTCTGTACTCACAATGCCGATACTGAGGTAAACTAGAAACAAAGGCAAATGAAGTTGGGTTTAGGTACTGGTATAAACTCTAGTCTGATCTGCCATCTGCCAAGCAGGTTCTCTAAATCGCTTTCATTAGTAGTATTAAAAAAAATCTAGAAAAAACCTCTCTATAATTAACAGTAAATTATGACTATGCACTATATTTACTTATTATCTCTTTAAGACTGGAGTCAGATCGTGAGCTATTTGTAGATGTGGTTTTGAGAGTGAAACAAAGCTTGGTTTCTTTTTATTCTGCCCTTTAAACTGTACCCTACCCTTAGGGGAAATTTGCAGTCTGGCGCTGCTCGCATTGTCTTTAATGTGCAATGGCTGAGATCTTCGGACTCTCAAAAAGTAAACGATAATATATCAAAGACCACTGCAAGGCTAACACAACGTAGTATATTTAAAACAATATTTCGGCTGGCCAGACCAGCCCTCTTCAGATTTACATGTTACTAAATTATGAAAATGAAATTATAATATTATATAATGGTGGATGTCGTGATAGAAAGGTGGATCTCAAAAAGTCCAGCAAGTTCCGACCTTAGCACTCCGAGAAATTCCGACTCCAAGTTACCAATCCGAAAAGACACTACAAGAATATCACGTGACCCTTATAATAGCTCTGAAGTTAGGCCACGATCTCGCGCAATGACGTCTCTGATGAACAACATTACAATCAGTGTCGACCAGTCTACCTTTCTGTTCTCTTTGCTTCCCAAGAGCAAGTCCTCGGCTTGTGTCCACGCCATCCAACAATCTTTTGCCACAATGACGCGATAGAATCACTGACGGAGACTGGGCGTCAGGCAGCCCAAAATTGGTGTCCGACCTTCTGCATGTACTTGACAATGAAGTGTGCCTATAGTAAATGTCTGATATTTCCCATGAAACAAAGACACAGCATGAAACGTTAGGTTCTCGGTCCATTTTGAACATGATGAATTAAATTTATTTTCTTCCCCAATCTGCAATCGCATAAAAGAGCGTCGTTTCTCACAGTTAACATCAGGAAAAATCACTTTCCTGCACCTTCGCAGTTGCACGAGCGGTATTTGGAAAATTGCTTTGAGGGACAATTAACCAGAGTCGATCTTTTCTAAAAATGTACCGGAATTGAACTAAAATCTAAAGGATACTGAGATGTTTTTGACCTACAATATATTGTTACCGCGACACACTCGCCCGAATATTTATCCGTGGTTTAAAAGTAATAATATTTTTCTTACAAGGCTACAAGCTACAAATATATCGTTTTGTAAATCAAATACTTACGCTTTAGCACTGTAGCAGCATTGAACAAGATGACTCCATACAGTGCAAACGTAAAAAGGTTTTGTTTCCACATATCTTACGCCGAAAACACTGTAAAGAACACGACTGAAATTCATCAACAAGAAATAATAAACCGATATCGACCCGAAAAGGACAACGTCTGCCGTGGTTACCGTACTCAGCTCGAAAGCACGTGTCAACCTGCTTGGCTGTTGCCATGGTAAATTGAATCTTTGAATGCAGACAAAGTCCTGACAGTAACGTTAAACTGTATAAGATTTAGAATCCACTGAACAAAAAATAAGTTCACAGTTCAAATATTAACGTCTTAAACTTATTGCCAGACTCTGCTCACTTGATTAGGGAGCGAGAATGAATCTCCTTACAACCCCGAAAACGAAGGACTAAGAAAGTTCCAATGTATGGTAGTAATTAATTATTGCATTGTTGACAAAAACAGAGAGAATTGGATAAGAATGGAATAGTTCCAGGTCGCGTGGAAACACTTGTGAAACAAGGTGTACAGCAAAGGTGCAATTTTGTTTTGCCTAAAAGGTTAAAGCTCAACCCAGTCTCCCCGCACAGAAATCATACATAATGGCTTCTTACTGCCTCATAAAATTCGATGATATCACAGGAAATGACGCAGTTTACTTCCGTCGTGAAGCATTAACAACTGTACCGGAGGTCCCTTGCCACGCTTTCACCTGTGATAATTACACGTTGAGTCAGCAAAATGTACTTATAAACCGATAATTAATCTATGAACTATTACATTTTGAACCGTAGCAAAGTCCGTGCTTTAAAAATTCACTTAAAGATGACTGTCTCAAAATCATTTGTCCGTCATGGGTTGTTGGAAAATGATGTATTTGATCCGCACCCAATAATTAGAAATAACTTCGGGACTAGATTAAAAAGAATGTTTTCCAGTGGAACAGAGCAGAATCACCTGACNCCACGCTTTCACCTGTGATAATTACACGTTGAGTCAGCAAAATGTACTTATAAACCGATAATTAATCTATGAACTATTACATTTTGAACCGTAGCAAAGTCCGTGCTTTAAAAATTCACTGAAAGATGACTGTCTCAAAATCATTTGTCCGTCATGGGTTGTTGGAAAATGATGTATTTGATCCGCACCCAATAATTAGAAATAACTTCGGGACTAGATTAAAAAGAATGTTTTCCAGTGGAACAGAGCAGAATCACCTGACAATGAGGAAAACCTGGAACACAAAATGAATTGCGCAAGTTTGTACAACTCTTGAAAACATTTTCACGCTCAATTCTAGCGGAAATAGAAGCTGTGTTTGATAGGTTTCGCTGAATTTCGAAAGATCAATGTAAAAATATTTTCCTGTAAAAATAAATCTTGCGACTCTCAGACTAAACACTGTCTGCTTTTATAACCCAAAGTTTCAAAAAAAATAGGTTTCTGTCCTAACAGTGTTTAGCGTGTTAATTAAGTGCTGAGTAACCACTGGCATGTCATCATCTTGGTGTCACGAGTAATTTACTGCCTTCACTCAATGTCGCTTGACGTATTGTTTGAGAATTGTGCTTGCTTATTGTTGTATGGTCATTAAAAAACAGAGCCAGAAGTCGACCTCTCGTTTTCTTTCATCTCAATGAGTTCTCCATTAACTTCTGCATGGAGACAATGAGTTAATGAGGTTGAGGTTTTGCGGTTCCTAGTTGCATTTACTTGGACCAAAAATTATAAGCCAAAAAATCAACGTGCCCAGAATCATTTGCAATGGATTGGAACGTAGAAGAAGTTGTTACTTGGTTAGCAGACGTTGGACTTTCAAAGTACGCCAAGAGATTTAAAGGTTGGTAATTTTAAACGTAGCTACTTTAACTTTTCGGATATACGCGCCTAAAGAAATAAGCGCAACTCTTTAATGCTTGAAGAGTTTATCGGAATTTAATTTTACCAGCCGTGTAGACCGAAGTTAGCTACACAAAACTGTCACAAAGTTGTGCATTATTCGATACAATCACTTACGTTTTTATAAAAGTTTTTATCGACGTTTTTTGTCAAAGCTGTGTAATTTTTGCTGATATATTTCGCTCGCTTTCACAGTTGAGTTTTCGTGTAATAGTTGTAAATTTGTTTCAGGTTTCTTGGTGAATGGAGCTGTCTTGGTGCAAATGGACGAAACTTTACTTGGTAAGTTCATAGCGTCAAAGCTCTCCCTGATGACGCTGACACAACTTATCTTATGGCCGGTCTATATATCCGTTCTTATTAATCCCCATGAGGGCTTTTCAAACGTCTCTCTTAACTTGTGTCCAGCACACTTATTTTAAGTGAGTCTGCAGGCATATCTGCCCGAGGTAATGGCTGATATGTCTTTCAGTAGCCTTGAACTTCTACTGTGTAAACAAACTTCCATTAGCAACTAAAGCACAGTGTCCACCACAATAATCAAACAGTTATCTTAAAATGCTCAGTATTTCACCGGATATATCACTGAGGCTATTACAATGTACACGATTAGTACAAATTGTGGAACTAGTCCTGTATTACAAAGCCGATTGTGGCTAATACTTCAAATGTTGTAGAGTTTATACGCTAATTAGCGACGGTATAAAAAGAAAACTAACTCTCGCTATTGTTTGTATACTTTATAATTCGTGATATTGTATTACAGCTTCAGTTTCAATCGCAATATCTCCCAGCAGGTAATGCCTAAGTCTATATCAACTCGGTCAGTATGTTGTAACAAGAAAATAAATGATTTTTATTGTTTTCTCTGCCTTATAAGATAATTATTATCCGTCTTTGAGCGAGCTAAGTTTTCGATAATTATTCCACAGCAGCCTTTTGTTTTCGAATCAGTGTGTTTGCCAGAACAGGTAAAAGACTAACAATGGATAAATGTATTATTTCCCTTCAGCCATAATTGTCATTATCTTCTTTGGCGTAACGTTTCATGCTCCACTTAAGAATTAGCGATTTCATGCAAATCCGAAAAAGTCACGAGAACGCTAGTTCGTTGTTCGCAATTGTTTATATTTGTATCATTAAATGTTTGTTGGCACTCTTTGTATGTAAGTATGACAGTATAAAATTGGAATCAAGTTAAAACCAGATATGGTGTTAAGTTGAAAAAAATTAAAAAATTAATTCAACTGCTGGCATAATTTGGAAACAGGAATTGATTACGTAATAACTGATTAGCTTGAGTCTTCATGTTACGTGTTTGAAGTTCAGTGTGTTGTTTTGGAAACTGTAACATACCCTCTATGAATAGTGCCAATCACGGAGAAAAAAATTGTTTTCTCAAATTTAACATTGGAGTAGTCTTTATGATCTGTTATTATTGAATTCTACATTCTGTTCGGACTGTTCGATTTTCATACGAACGCAAACTGTACTCAAGCTGACAGTCAGCTTATGCACTTCAAGTTAAATTGTCAACCGTAAAATTTTCTACCCTAAATTCAGAAGATGAATGTCCATTCCAAAGTCTTGTCAATCCTTTTTTCTGTAGAGGTAGGGGAATAATTGCAAAATGTCTTTCTGTACACTCCAAAACGACAAACTCATCAAAACCACCTCAGGATCAAAACCAACTCATCTTTCCACCTTTCTTCCTGCTTTTCTCTAGACGACCTTGAAGTCAAAGATCCTGGAGACCGGGAAATTCTTCTGAGGGAAACCGCTAGGCTGGCCGCGACAAAAAGTGACAAATCACAACTCAGCGAAATACAAGACATGGCTCAAAGAGGACACGTTTTAGACACTCCTCTTATTACTGTAAGCAATTTTGACGAAGGTGACGTCCGACCAAGATTGGTTCTTTTATGTGACGACGAAGACTTTCCGTACAACAAGCGAAAAAAATCGAGTGACGAATTTATAAATCAAAGAATTATAAATTTGGCGTACAGCGATGGAGAAGAATCAACAACGGACGGCGGATCTGAAAGAGATTTTAGTTTCAAAGACAGCGACGAAGAACATGATTTTAGTAAGTGAAGTATTTATTTTACTAGGCAGAAATATTCCTCTGCCGAAAATAAACGATTTCACTTTTTTATTGTAAGGGTATTTTGCACACATTGCGTGCCTATGGGATTCCGCGTTGTTTGCACTCATCCCGTCCCTTCCCGTCCCGTCAAGAAGATCAGCTTGAGTGTATCGTCAATCTTGCTACTGGAGGGAGTGGATGATTCCAGTAAGGATTGCCAAAGTAAAAGAAAGGGTATTTAAAAAATATTTATTTCTCTTCCTGTAGATATTTATGACGAAGATAAAGACGTCACAGATGATTCGACACCGGTTGCGTCAGCAGTTGCGAGCAGAGCGACACAAATGGTAGAACTGTTATCTCGAGATAATGTGGCACTGAGAGAAAAACTGGAGAATGTCTACTTCAAGATGAATAGCATGCAAACGGTAAATAAATAAAAATTTCAAATTGCGTTCTCTTGCGTTCTTCGCTCACAACAACGTCCGGGAGCCAATGGGAGCGAAGAATCTGGAAACGAGACTTGTAATTCATTGGCCAAAACACGGATATCAAACAAGGATATCATAACTATATTAATAAGAATATTTTACAATGGGTATTACATTTCTCGAGCACTCATTGGCGGGGGTTGTTTGTATCACCAATATCAATTATCTATTTGTTAACTATGATAGACATAAAGCTGAAGTCGTCGCGCGCGTGACCGTAAAAAAAGAAAACACCAGCCTTTTACGCGTTGTCGACAAGTTGCATCTCAGCGCGGAAATTCTTCGAAGAGTGAATCAACTTTTAGTCAGAAAGATAAAGTACGTCTTCATCGTAGTTTGACGACGAAATTAATCGAAATGGATTCTGGTGTTTGTTTTGCTTTGTTGAAAGTAGCCGATGAGAGTGGATCAAAACTCAAGGACAAGTCAGTGAGTATTCTAAAAATCTCAAGGTCTTGTTTCAGAGGTTCTGCTAAGAACATTCGTTTTTGTGTTATTGTAAGTAGTTTGAAGTAGGCGAGGCCGCGATTTTGACAGCCTATTTCAACTTTGACGAAGAACTTTGTTCGAAACTTTTGCGATTTTCTACCAAAGAGTAATGTTTTCGATTTTTATTCTTTTCTATGTTTTTATGTTTATTACGGAATTTAAAAATAAAGTCAATTCTTGTTATATATTGCAGCTTGAATGCGAGCTACAGAGCATGCGCAGTGCGTACGAAGAGCTACAAATATCGTTTCGGAAACAAGAGGACCTGGAATACAGTACTAGAACAAGAATGGAGTCTGAGATAGGCAAGCTACAGGAAAACAACAGAAATTTAAAAGGTGAGAATGTGTTCGGCTTATAAACGAGAATTCTTGCTTATAAAGTCTGCTCTCGTTTGCTTCAGAACTTTATTTCACGACAGAAAATTCAAAGCTTAAAGTTTCAAATTTATAAGATATCTTTCCCTTTTTCAGAGACTTAATATATTACTGTACACAAAGAGCTGTCATAACAGCATGTGGCAGGACAAATAAATATATTTTCTTGAAGCTAAAACAAAATGAAACTATGGAAAAAAGAAAAGAGGTGCAGCCCCAGTTTTATGAATAATCACTACTAAAGGCGGCTTCGTTAGAGAGGAAGGGATTTTGACACTTTGAAAGGACATTGAGTGTGAGGCTGTTTGTACGGTTTTGTTACTAAAACAGTTTTGCACACAGCAAAAAATTTTACAAGAGGCAAATAATTAACTTCCTTTTTGCATCTAATAATCTGAGTTACAAAATTTCAAAATATTTTTGGGAAATGCGAGTGACGACACAAAACACGCTATTTAAAGCTAAGTTGCTTTGTAGTTATATTTGAGCGCGAATATGGTAAAATAAAATAGTACAATATTTTTAAGCGCGTTTCTTAAAACGAGATCTTATAATAATGGCGAAGCAATTAAAACAAGTGGTGTTAAATGCAACGAGACTTCGAATTCAGAGTGTCTAGAATAGAAATTAAATTAAAATGGATGGCACAGAGTGAACAAGATTGGCAGTTGGTATTGCAAACATAACAACTTTGTTGCTATAGACCCAGCAGATTGAAAACCAACTTTTGGCTCGCAGTTTGTATGAATACTGGATTCATATCAAACACTTGGATACCCGAGTTTACAGCATTAAGTGGATATCTTATTTTGTTTTTGTGTTCAACTCCTCGTAAGGTGTTAAGTAAAGAATCTGTCAAAACAGTAATTTACACATCAGCTCATTTTCGTGCCAATTTGTGAACCACTCAAACACGGGCGTAAGACATGAAATTAATGGATCGTATGAAGCGTGATAAAGAAGCTAAGAAAGCTGATTTATTGGTATTGTGTGCGCGAGAAGCACTTGAAGTTGCTTTAAAGTACGACTGACTTAAGTATGATTAATTTGTATTGATGTAGTAGGACTGAAGACTACGAAAAACGTCATTTATTGACAATGAAATAAATAGAAATACTGGACAAGATATTTTAAGAATATGTTTTGATAAGGTGAAACTTATGCCGATAAAGAACATTTTTCTTAGACTCTGTTATTTCGAGATAATGACAGTAGGGAGATGCTATCTTCTTATTTCGATATCTTTCCACAGCTGAGCTTGACAGATGCGGAGATGAAGTCGAGCAAGGAAAGGTAATTTGCTTAAGTAGAAGCCAGAGATCGATCTTAGGAAAAGTTGTTGACAAATAGTTGTCATGAACAGGCCCTCTTGTAAATGGGAAAAAAACGAAAAACGTAGTTTTCTGTTGCGACGTTTCGTCCACCGATCATCCTTTTCACGTGTTTTTATTGCGTTCACTCACTCATTTTAGAAACGACATTTCACATCATCTAAATTAGTATGAAGCAAGTATTTGAGTGCTATATTATCTATTCTATTCCTCATTCATTCAATATCAACGCCATAGCCATGTTTTGTCTTTTTTCTCGACAGAAGTCACTTGAGAATTTCAGAAGCGACCTAAAACTGAAGAATGAGGTCATTCGACAGCTAATCGTTCAAAGTAATGCTACAATATTCCTTCTGAATTATAGAACTTGTATTCCTCGTACCCTGCAGACATATATGTACACCCTAGGCCTGACCCTATATACAGCCCTGGCTAATAAAGACGAATTAACAAATGAAACGAATTACGAAATCTTCAAATAAGGGAAGATTTCTTGTTGCACCAACAAATTCTGAGAATTAACATTAAAATAAATATGGCAACCATCAAGGTTAATTTCTCGCTTGATAATATCGTTCAGCGCCGATATGTTGTTTTGGCGCTGGAGAGGAATATCATTTCACTTTACTTTTTTGGAAATGACATGATGGAATTATGACGTTTTCTTTGAAGATGGGTTGCAGACGGAATAACAAGCAGTGAGGCTAAATTCGGAGTAAATATTTGCTTTTTCTCTTCGCCCCCCTACGCGTTGTGTTGCTAGGTTACCGCATTTGGCAAACTATTGAGATGAGCCTGGTATCTTCACTGCGGTGAAACTGTTTCAGTGCAGATGTGCTAACCATTATATTAGGTGATCCCATACTTTTACACCTGAGATACCACAAAATTTGTTACTGAGCTATATCTATACTGCTCTAAGAGGGTTTTTTAAGCAAACGTTAACGAAATGATAAGAAAACTAGGACCTAAAAAATGCCTTAAGCTCGCTGGCGAAAATGTAGCACAAACATGGCCGTACTTTAGTGTTACATTGTCGCGATATTTTCTTGATTTAGGTAACAACTTTGCCGCCACAAGAGACGATTTAGAAAATACAATAAAACAACAAAGAAATCAAATAGAAGAACTTGAAAGAGAAAAAGATCGCCTGAACTCGTCACTGGTGCAGAGTCAGGAGAGGATATTGTACCTTCAACAAGAGGTGAGCAAGTGGTTTATAAACACTCAAAATAGCTTCGTAGATGTAAAAAAAAAACTCCAGGATATGGCAAAAAATATACGTTTTTGATACATATAGAACAAGCAAAACATAAGGAACCCGTCCTGGTTTCTAAATGCATAATTGACTAGACACTTTCTTGTACTTAACGGATGGTAATGGGGGAAGTTTCTATCTATAACTAACTTACGTTTTCCTCTCCTGATTATTTTCTCTTCCGCATTTCACAACTACAAAACTATGTTCCTGTTTTTGAGCAACTTCTGTAACTTTTACAGCTAGTTTAAAGAAAAGAGTTATCTCCAAATACAGAAATTTCGTTTTTCACCACCGAGTGTAATGGGAATACAAAGTGATTATGGCGCAGTTTTCAAATGAGTGTCGTTAAAGGACTTAAAGCAAAACTAAAGTAATCACTCTAGCCAATCACAAAGGCCCCAGACAGTCCAGTGAACCAATCAAAACTGGAAGCCAATACATGTAGCTATAGTAAGGAGAGGTGCGAGGAAAACGTGTGCGAGCAAGTCGCAATTGGTTTTGGTTTTACTTCTGAAGGACTGACAAAATGGCCAGAGATTTTTAAGCCAAACACCTAGCGCCGTAATACAAAAACAAAGTAAACGAGAATTAATTTGCGAACTCGATTAAAAACCGTTTTAAAGAGTTAAGTGAATTAGTCCGGCTCCTATCTTGAATGTCGAACATTTTTAAACACATTGTAAACGCAGAACGAAAATAAAACAGAATATACTATTATTCTTACTGTCGGGTAACATTTGTTACAGCTCAAGAAACAACAACTACACACAAATCACGTGATTCCTGATAGTAAGACACATGGCCTACACGTGACGGAGAGAAGCGCGGTAAAAGACGACACGTGTTTAACGAATGACGAAAAAACGACACATCACCGGCACACAAACTCAGCTGATGAAGGGATAGCTGAGTTAGATGGACCAACAAGTGTACCTGTGTTGCTAGAATTGCTGAGAGAAAAGGATGATAGAATTCAAGTGCTGGGGGAAAACATATCACGGGTAAGAGTTGACAAACAAATTTTCATCCATTTCATGTACTTTTAAGATGGATCGGACAACTATTATTGTTCAATTCAGTTCTTTATTTACGCTATATAGGGCATTTAGATACATTTTATAAGGTGAAGTTATGAAAATAGTAAACAAAATTAAGAAACATGAAGCCGTAAGGAAATAAAACTTATATGTGAGAGATGGTCAAATTATTAAGGGCTTTCTGGTTGTTCACCGCCATGGTCAAATAAATGGCAGCATAAAAAGTTAATTCAGCTAAGCTAGACCTACATACACTACATTACAGCGTACATACACTGCATCCACACCTATATAGCTACAAAATCAAACAACAAAGTAAAACATGAAGTTTGATTATTCATGCAGAAGGTGGCATTTGTGCTCTTTCTTAAAGATATTGTTGGGCAAACTTAATTCTCAGGGGTACAGATTCCCAATTATCATTATGCGGAAACTTTGACTTTGGTGTTAAACGGGTTAATAGTCACACGTTTGATATTATGAGTCCATCAATGGCAACTTCTTTAAGAAGTTACTGTCACGATACATGTTAACATTTGAATATTTCTTCTTTACTCCCTTTTAGCTTGAACAAACATTATTACAAGAAGGTACCTCTAGAAATTTGGCCATTCGAGCAGTTTCTGTGCCAAAGTAAGTTTGTTCTACCATTTGGCATCTTTTTTATGTTTTTTGTTTTTGTTTTTATTTTTGGTTGGTTGTTTTTTAGTTCTAGTCAGGGCCGTAGAATAATTTATACTAATCAATTCTCAAAGCGAAATAATACCTCCGTCAAATGCCAGAAAACATGTAACTAGTATAAAGGACAGGACAATCGGTAAACGCAAAAGTAGGGGTAGATACGCCCAAGAAGATGCATAACTACGAGAAAGCCTGGGAAGCCGTGTAAGTTTTCTGAAAGACGTATTTTTATTTTTCATCCAGGGAGGCGCGGATAGCTGCACTGGAAAAATCAATAGAAGAACGTGAAAAGATTATCACTGAATGCAGAGGACAAAATCTGAAATCTGTCGAAGAGTTGTACGTTGCTAACAGACGATGTGCAGATTTAGAAGCCATGTAAGTTTTTTGGAAACCCTGTTACATGTAATACGGTCACCAATGTGCCATGAAAATTTAGCCGTATTAACGGGGTGGCCGGGGTGTGGTCAAATTTCATGACTGATCTGAATTGAGTGACGTCTAAACAGATATGTCACAACTGTTCTTTAATAAGTATTCGAAATGTAGATATGATTAAAAAAAACTTGAAACTTTAATCAGTACATACAATACAAGATGGACATAACCGGTTTGAGTGGCCGTATTAACAAGTAAAATTATAAAGGATTATACAGGTTAGGATTTCAGAATATGGCCACTAGCTGCATTAAGGGGGTTTTCTAATAAATACTGAAACGTATGGGCGTTTCGCCGGGACAAAAAAAGTGGCCGTAATAACGAGGTAACTGTAAGGCGCGCTTCCACAGTACTAACACCAAGACTGCCAATTTCGAGCACACTTTAGTTTAATATAAACCTGCTATCTGTTCATTTCTCCATTGTAGAATCAAATCACTTCACTTACAGCTGGCAGAGAAAACAGCAAGACTCTGTATTCTACAAAACAGCGATGAAGAGGAACCGAACGAACCAGAATGGCCATTGGACCCAGCCTTCTGTCGGACAGACTTCGCCCAAATGAAAGACCTGGCACTAGACTCGTGTTAGTACTATGAATTAACAGTTTCTTAGTACCTAAGACAACTTCTTTGCACTGCTGGTCGCTTATAGTGACGCTAACCTTGAAAGTTCTCAATCTAGACATCGAGGACCAGGGATGGCGCAGTGGTGAGAGCACTCGCCTCCTAGCAATATGGCCCGGGTTCAATTCCTACCCGGTGTCATAGGTGGGTTGAGTTTGTCGTCGGTTCTCGCCTTGCTTAGAGGGTTTTTCTCAGGGTTTCAGTACGGTTTTCCTCCCTCCGCAAAAACCAGCATCTCCAAATTTAATTCCACCAAGATGGAGGACCTGCATGAAAACCAGTTAAGGCCGATGTGGCTTCCCCTCTAAATATTGCACTTTATTTGTAATTTATCGTTTCACAACGAAAAAAAGGCTATATATATGAATTATTTCATATAAACTTCACATCATTTCACTCCTCACGGGAAGATATGAACTCAATTAATTGACCTCGCTCCCAATGTGTGNAATTGCTTAAATTGGAAAATTAACTGCGATGATCATTCTTCACTTTCATCTACAACCGCAGTTCATATATGAATTATTTCATATAAACTTCACATCGAAAAATACCTCGATAACCTATGTACTTGCTTACGCGACCCTTCGCAGCCGCCACGGTGCTTTTGTGGACAAGGTAGATGTTTGTCCGCCATTTTGGATATACTACCCTACAATTGCACTTTACGCAAAAGTTTTCAAGAAACTCCTAATATGCTGTTTCCATAGAACGATCCTTCATCGCGTTCTCGTAGAAGAAACAACAATTGAAAAAGGGCATAAGGGAGACTATAGCTAATTATAAACACGTTTCTTTTTTAGATGCAGAATCACTCGACTCAGGAATGTCACTTACTAATGCAACGGATGTAAGACACACAGACCCAGAATTGAAGGTATTTTATAGAGTATCTTAAATTTTAAGAGTATATATTGATAAATGGTTATCTGTAACAGAAGCTGGCAGACCCGAACAATTCCATACAGATGACATATACATACTCCACAGAGATTTGTGGATTGTCTGTGATTGGTTGTTGGGCAGTCATTCTTCAACTTAACGACCAATCAAAAGACAGATTCTTTCAAGACTACGTAATGTGATCATTTTGGTTATTTTTCAGTTTTAATAGAACCCTATGTAACGAAAAGGTTATGTTATTTTTCTCTTGATGTAACCTGATCACGCGGGCTAGTGGCCTATCGGCTAAAGAAGTTTAGAAACCCTGGGTCATTACGTAAAAAATAATTTTTAAAATAATAATCTTTAATTTTTTTCAGGCAATCGACGAACCTGACCAACTGTCGGTCCACTATTGGTCTGTGTAGAAGTTCTATCATGGCTGCAGCTACGAGGACACATCCAGAAAGAGATAGTTGTCTAAATTGTACAGAATATGGTAGCTTTGAGCGCTGTATTTAAGTTACGTTTAATTTTAATTTGTACTAACCCCAACGTTCATCAAGCCTTGTTCCAGCGTCCTCTTAGAAAATGATGACCAACCACCGAAATGACCGCCATCTTGAATGTGAATTCTTGATAACGCCCTGGGAACGAGCTTAGAGGGGAGGTGCTCCTGCAGTAATTTTGTTCCAAATGATATATGCCGAGTTTTTCACATCTAAGTAGCGCCAAATTAAAAAGAACTTAAGTATTATCGCTTTGTATTGTCAATAGACAATTTGTGAAGACAAATTACTGGAAAATATATATTTATTTCGTAAATTATTTCAAGAACAAGTTAACCGTATACAAATAGGAGTTTAATTATTGTAAATTTTCATTATATCTAACAACATACTGATTACTTCGGTTCTCAAGATCATTCGTTCATTAACTAATACAATATCACAGAAACACAAACAACAAAGAAATCAACCTAATGGAGGGAACGGTTTGGAAGCTTATTTATGCCACATATGACATACATTAGTAAATGAACGGGAATCATCAAAATTAGCGAGTTCTTCGTTCAGGCTTAGAAGCTCTAGATAACATAAATTTAAATTTAATTTATTTAAATTTTACTTGTGTCTTTCCGTGGTTGTCGTAACTTTGAAGTGCAGTTTTTTTGTGAACTGAAAAGAAAAATCTAGGTGGAAAATTATGTAGAAATAAAAAGCTTAAAGTTTGTCGTACCTTTCATTGTTTTATAGAAAGGGTGGGACTGACAAGTCTGACAACATAGCTGACAACCAGCGGCGGGTAAATAATGAAGATATCCGTCTTAATCGCGGCATTTTGGAAATCGTTGAAGAGAAGGCCCTGGGCGCGAGTTTGATTAATGAAGCATTCATGGGTAGTGGATTTTTTCGCCAACTTTCGCATGCAGTACTAAGCAACATCCTTTCATAAAAAAGTTACTCATGCTATAAGCCTAAGCTTGAAAGCCATTAGGATCATCTGTGATATTTTCTTTTCTCAAATTCATTTCAGTATTTTAAAAGAATTCTTGTTTATTGATAATGTCCTTTTCATTCTTACTGGTGTACCAGCTCTCCCAGGTTTGAGTGTATTTCTTTTCCCTCTGCCGTGTTTTTCACCAGGAGATCGTGCTCCCTCAAGTCTTTCCGCCAGTTCTTTTTCTAGGCTAGCTGAAAGTGAAAGTTGCACGAAAATTGATTTGTTTATTAGCTGCCTTCTGTATGATGTACATGAGAGTAAATTAAAGTCTGCAAAGAGCCAATTGGCCCGTCAGACTCTAGTTTCAGTAGCATGAAGCGTCAAGGAGCATTTCTACCTCCCCCCTCCCCTCCCCCTCCTCTCCTGGATGGCATCCTAGTCCATCGCAGGGCTACCCCCAGGATTAAATTCGCCGGTACCCAGTTACACACCTGGGTGGAGAGAGGTACTGTGGGAGTAAAGTGTCTTAATCAAGAACACAACAGTTACTGCCAGGGTTCGAACCCAGACCGCCCGATCCAGATGCGAGCACACTAACCGAGGCCACCATGCCTTTATACATAAGAGATTACCAGCTATATAATATTTGCAAAATATTACTGACCACGAAAAGCGACCGTGACAACTGTTTTATCGCTCAACAAAGGTTTGTACGCTGTTTTTCCATTGTCCTCTGCATAGAAAACAAAACATGCAAAAATCTAAATAGTTTCAAAGTCAGATTGTACGGTTCGATCCTGCTTGTTGGTTTTTAAACTGCTTGTGCAACAAAATGAAAAATCTGCAATAAGTTCGACAATGAACAAAGACTGTAACTAAGTGTGCTTTCATAATTTCTTACTTCAAATTCAAACAATATTATTTCAAAACAATAGAAAATCATTCTCGCATTGCTAACTTACTTTCCATCCGTATAAGGACGTATTTTTCTCTGGGTATTAAATAATTTGTCCCGTAAGATTCTTGTGGTTGTTGAGGTAAATACTTCGGTCGACCGCTTACTTCACATAGGTCCACTTGAGCTGGAAATGAAGGCACAGACGTAAATCTCTATTTTGGCCTGAACACTTTGACGAATTAAGTTAAAACTTCAGTAAACACTTTAGGTATGATGACTTACACTTAGAGCGATCTTCAAAAGTCGCTCGACGCCAGTCTTTATCTTCTCACCTTGAAGTTCACAGTTGCACTGCTTTTTGATACTATTTAATAAGAGCTTGAGCCTGCACTCTGTGTTAAACAGCGCCTCCTTTCGCTCTACAAAAATAACCAAACACTGTTTCGATGACGATTGCCTCGATCTTTACTAAGGTATAGGAAAGTTCAAAATTGATCTCAAGTAGACTGAACTAGGTTTAGAGACCGACTTGTTCGTTCTATACAAAGATCGCGCAGAAGCGACCATGCAACCTCGAAGTTTAAAACAAGAAAAGTTCTAATAGACAAAACAGACGTCGCTTAAACTTGTAAAAGTCAGCTTTAATCGGCTCATCCTTCCAGCATTCTGGAAAATTATATTAATGAATCGAAAGCAATTTTGACAAATACCTCGAAATATGAACCATATTTTGAGGTTCAGTTTTTTAATAAACAAGAACTCATTCATTGAATTGCTATTCATTGCCGTATTAAAATACCCAATTATTCAATCTGCTTCAAATTAAAGTAATACTAGGGTACTTCAATGTTTTTTTGCTGACCGTTTCATAAATCAGCTCCCGTCGACTTACCTCCGTACATAACTGTGATGAACATTTTTCTAAACACGCTGAGCGCTTCGACACCCGTTCTTTCCTAATTTCACCCGACGAGGTTTTGATTGTTTTCAACGCAATTAAGCTCCTAGCCCCAGTTAGCAACGATGTGATAATTAATTTCTTTATAAAGGATCTTTCGGAAAATTGTTTTCATGTACAAAAGAATCTCAAAAGCTGGAAACGATGAGGGCCAAAGTATAATAACGTCGATCGAGCTGTTCAAGGTATTCATTAAGGTCAGTGATACCTCCCTCGGCCCATTCAGCTTAAAATAATTCCAAGCCTCATTAAGAGCAATTCACAGCGTAATTCTTGTTGACTTTTTAAAACCTTTTTAATCACTTTAATTTTAAAAGGATTAGAGACCAGTTTGACGTCAGAATGCCTGATAAGGTCAGGGCAAAACAATATGTCTAAAGATTACTTCTATTAAAAATTCCTTTACACAAATAGCAAGTAATTTGTGATATTGAACGTGCTTTGAATTTGATCGATAAAGGATTAGGATGCAGTTTACAGAAAATGGTCTACGGAAAATCGCCTTAAAATTGCTTTGAAGTTTCATTGCTGGACTGTCTGGACTGAAACTTGAACTGGGAAACTGGGAAACACACGACAGTCAGACCAGACACCAGTTTCCGCAGATGTATCGTGAAGTACTCAGCTGGTAATCCTATGACCCCCATTTATGATCACATCTCAATGAAGCTATTAAGACATCTGTTAACCGTTTACGACGAAAAAAAAGATGAACTACATTTAAATTTGTTTAACTTGAAATCTTATAAGAAGATATACAAAAGGAGTACGAATTAGATTCGGAGCGGGCGCGGATCCATACCGGTTTCCACCGTTTTGCGGGAATCGGTCCGATTTTTCAGAGTGACTCAGAAACCCAGGAAAGGGGAATTAAGGGAGTTAAATGTTTGCTATAGAGCATGGTTTCAGACCCCTCTAGAAGCTTGCACCTTAATTCGGCGCTCATTTTTTCGGAAATTGGTCAGCATTTATCATAGATCCGCGCCAGCGGAGGCATACCAGGTGGCATACATAACTACACTAACAATTTTATTAGTGTGAGATGAACATTTCACTCATCGATGAACTCGAGAGACACAGAGTAACTGGAAAGACAAAACTCAAGCAAAGAAACAGAGCTGATGGTCACATGGGCAGTTAATATAGTTGCTGTTGTCACTTTCAAGATAAGGTTGACAAACTAAGATCTAATGCTGGTAAAAGAGAAACAAGTCTTTGAACAAGACCTCACCGAACACAACAATGTGAGTTATTTTGTTACTCTTGGTAAATTTGACCTTCCCAATCCTGTGAGATTATAAAATTTTCTTTTAAGTTTTATTCGTTACTGGTGTAAAATTTAACCTCCTGGAAGATACACATGCTTAACATATTAAATTTTATTATTGTAAGGAGTTACAGTGCAACCTGTATTTAGCAGACACCCTTGGGACCCTCACTAGTGTCCGTTTAGTCTTATTACAGGGTGTCCGCTCAAAACAGGTTCTAGTATGTTGTGCAACAACAGTTAATTATCAACTCTTTTGTAACACAGTGTAAGATCAAACGCTGCTCATAGGAGAATGTCCAGTCAGTCAACGCATCAATCTGGAATAAGCATTAACTTTAAAATGACACCGCTAAACAATGTTAAAGGAGTCTCAGCTAGACCTTTAGAAGTAAAAAGCTCTTGAAGTGTTCGCTTATGGCAGGTTTTGTGCAACAAAAATGGCTTAATATTGGTGTCCGCGTCCGCTTAACAGAGGTGTCCCCTGAATGCAGGTTTATTTTACAGTAAATGTGGGAAGAAAATTTTGGGACTTCAACTGGTTTCCACTTAATAGGGGGTGTCCGCTTAATATGGAGTCCGCTTAATACAGGTTTGACTGTATCCCATTCTTCTTCTTGATAAGGTTGCTACTTTGCAGAGTTGTTTATATTCCCGGTGCGACTGGAACGTAACCATGGAAACACTTTCTTAAATGCCCTCCTGAACTTTCGATAGGTCAGAGTGTAAATGAATGGGTTGCAACCGCTGTTCAGCATCGCCAACATCGTGGTGATAGTGAAAAAGTTGTCGTGGATTGGGCACAAGCCGTTGGTAAAAGTTAGACATGTGATTCCAATAAAATGCGGAAGCCAGCACAGAATGAATGTCCCATTGACAACAAGTAGAGTGAGAACGACTTTCATGTCTTTCCTAAGGAGCAAAGAAACAATTTGACTTAAATATATAATCACAAATATCAGTGCTATTTCTAAAGTTCAAAGCGCTTTACAAGGAGATAAAACAAACTGAATAAGGACTATTAACAGGCCACTCGTGACTAGCTCGAAGTTAAAAACGTTTTTAAAGGAGCTCAGTCACAGCATTTTGTGTTCATTTTGACCAAGTAGAAAATTACCTTCAAATTGAAGGAAACCTGAAAATAGTAGTTTACTAAGATAGAAAAACACCAAAGAGATAACAATAAACCATAGAGGAACAAGGATGGTTAAGGATGGAGAAGATTAACAAACGGATTATAAACGACGAACTTGAAAAACTTAGGCTAAGCTTTTCAAGATGTGCAAACCATGACGTAGTTCCTTTAACTATTGACTGTTACAAAAGGAGAAGTACAACTAAAAAGTAAGTTACTTAAATAGCGTTAGCGAGAGACAGTAGAGAAACAGTCCCAAACTTACTTTCGCTTTAAAACTGTCTCAGTCTTCTCCTTGTTCGTTAACCGCACACACATCCATTCGCGCACACGAGCCAAGTGACCAAGAGATATTTTGCCCCCTTTCACATGAGGCCTCGCGCTTTCTTCCCAGTCCTTTCTTTCGTTCTCCTCAGGGATTATTCCCAATTTGGATTTAAACGAATTCTCCCTTATCCACCCGCTTCTTTCGCTGGAATATGTAGGATGTATTCGGGACTGCGCACCCGCGGGATTGATGAAAACATTTCTCTCTGTAAGGACAGAAAGATTCATTTTCCAGGCTTGTTTGTTCCTTTCTGTGAACTTTGCGGAGTTTTCTAGTGGGATCACTCCTTCATTCGCTACTCTTACACGGTTTGGTGAACTTTGAGCAATATCTAAAGCTACTTGGTTGCTCTTATCCGACTTTTTACTCATGATCCCTTGTGCCTTTTCGTCGCTGAGAACAGACACGTTTTCTTCCTGTTTGAAGACAGTTGAAAAGTCTTCTTTTGATCTCTTTTCTTTCTTGTTATATTCCTTCTGTCTGTTTATCTCGGCCGGCACAATCATATCTCCGTTGCTGTTTGTCGCTCGATTACTATGGCAGCGGCTGTTTGCGGCAGATTTCGCTTCCTCGTCCACACTTTCTGGCCCCCATTCAGCACGTCTCATTTTCCCATTTCCCATTTGTTTCTCATCAGTCATTGCTGGATCATCAACATCCGGGATGTGAATGCTTCGGTTATATGTTGCCATAAAGCTGTGCTCGGCCTCGATCTCGCCAACCATCGTGGGAGGTTTCTCGTGGGCCTGGTGACAAGCGACCTTCATGACGCTTGCGTAACACATGACAGTCACGATCAGTGGAGTTACAAAACACGTCACGCAGAGGAAAATCGTGTAGGGTTTATCGTGCTCCCATTGGACAGTACAGATGTACTCGTAAGACAAATAAATATACCTAACGGGAAGAGGAAAAATGATTATAACAGTTGTTATTCAGTCTTTTTAGTCCTTGAAAGAGAAAAAATGTTAATCTGCATACGAGCCAAGTGGCCCATCAGGCCGGAGCTTATCCCGGTTTCTGTAGCATGAAGCGACTAGGCATATTTCTTCTCCCCCCTGGATGAGATGGTGGTCCATCGCAGGGTTACGTCACCGGTACCCATATATACAACTGGGCGCAGAGAGGCACTGCGAGAGTAAAGTGTCTTGCCTAAGAACACAACACAATGTTCCCGGCCAGGGCTCGAACCCGGACCGCTCGCTCCGGAGTCGAGCGCACTAACCATGAGGCCACCCTTGAAAGAAAACTATTTCTTATTTTTGAAGAAAATGACGAGCGATTAGAGGTTTTATTTAGGCAGGTTCATGCAAATTACACAAATACCCGAGCTTGATATATCACCAAAAAGCTGAATTCAGTTTACCCTACTTGTGGACAGAGGAACTGCATTGAAAGCAGTTTTTTTCCTTAACACTGATGCAGCCATCCTGTATAAATATGTGTTAATTATATTATTATACTATTATTATTATTATTATTATTATTATTATTATTATTATTATTATTCATGAGCAATTTTTCCTTTGTACAACCAAAAAATATATATCGTAAAAGAACTATACCTCTCTCTAAAAATACCCTGTTTTGGGCAGTCATAAGAGAATCGACCGGGGACGTTTTGACTCTTATCTTCCAATCAGAGATACACGTAGTAAAAAAACCTCGATCCCAGGCGGCTCACTCCTTTGCCTGTGAGACAAAGGGGAGAGATCCTGAGATCGAGGTTGGTGAAAAACAGCAGGGTCCCAGGGTCCTCTCTCTGATTGGAATAGAGAAGATCCTGGGAACAAGTTGAATGTTGCGCAGCAAAATTTCGGCAAAAACTCGGGTTCATAAACTTTTCATAAACTTTTCGGAGACAGAATTCTAACAAATCACTGAATAAATAAGTCTTTTTACCTTGACCATCCAAATACGGGAAAGATCGCCACAACTAACGCCTGTACCCAGATATACATCAATACCATTCTCGCCCTCCGGAAAGTGAGAAGCGATTGATGACGTAACGGATAAACAATCACTAACCAACGATCTAAACTAATGGCGGACAGTGTTAACATGGAGGCGATACAGAAGAGAGAGTTTGTTTCTCCACTTATGTAGCACAAGGTGTCTCCAAAGATCCAAGAGTTGCGGAAAGCTGATGTGGCTATCAGCGGCATTCCAAACGAGGATTGTAAAAGGTCGGCCGCAGCAAGATTAGCGAGAAACATTCCCGTGATATCGTGTAACGGACGATGACGGATTATTACGAATAACGTGAGAAAGTTTCCCACCGAACCGATAAGAGCAATACCAACCACAATGGCGCCAGTTATAACCGAGATATCGCACGGCATGATGGATGATACAGCTACTTATTCCATGGCTTTGTATGTGACACGGCTTTGTATAGCATTGGTCATTGCACGGCTAAACGTTCTTCACTCTCAGTAACAGTATAGTGGTGAGCGCATGGGTGGTATTCCCATATTTTTCAGCGCACTATGTCTCTCAATGGAGTGGTGTTGTTGTTCGCGGAATCTGGCGAATGGAGGTTGTTGTTTTAAGCGTTTCTACGCCACTTTTCTTACCAATCGCTACTGGATTTCCACGAAGAATCTTAACAGTGACATCACATATCTATTCATCACAAAGCATCCACCTCAACTTTAAGAAGCCGAAAAGCTCATATATAAAGAATTGGCGACAGTTACTCAGCCTCACCTCATTAATGAAATTTCCTTTTTTCTAAATGTTTTCTGTAAGAAACAATCTACTTGATTGGGAATTCAAAACAGCTGTTTCCGTTTGTTTTATTTCAGAGAAGATAAATTTGCATTTTCTCGTCTATATTACTAAATTTGCCAAAATTGATATCTTGTTGAAACTCTTCACTTTTTCAAGCCTAACCAAGAAACGTTTTAGCTAGAGTTTATTTTTCAACGATTATTGACCTTTTTGTTGAGTTGTGCAAAAGACATTGACAGAAAAACGAGTAATTGGCTTTTATTGATAAGCAAAAACCTTTCAATAGCTCAGATAAATGCATCAAAAACAGGAAATAATAAAAAAAAAACCAGTAAAGCTAAAGGGAACTTAACTAACTAACATTCAAAATAAAATTTCAATTAAAGCACTCTTAGTAACTAACCTATGAAACACAATAACGCGGACAAACTCTTGAATGGTTGAGAAAAGGTCGTTGTTTTCTCTCTGATCTATATGGGCGTTTTATTAGTGATTTGTTTTTTTTTAGCTTCACATTCAAACTAAGTAATTACTAAATAGCACTGATGACGTGTTCTGATAGCAGCAACGGACGTCACCACTTCTGAATGTCGGAAATTCAATAGACCATATTCGTATTCTCGGCATTGGACTGGAACTAGCTTGTAACCGAGGCTAATGCGGGGAGTCTTTTCAAATGCAAATGACATTAATCTCTTTTTAATGATATTCCCCCGTATGAGCCTCCATCCCAAGCTAGTTCCAGTCCAATACCGAGAATACGAATATGGCATATTATTCCACACGTCAATGAAAATATGCTCATTACCAGGCTACACCCGAGTGACATCACAATAACGTCAGCGGATTTACCCATTAAAGAGTGTCGCCTGGTGACAAACAAGAATCTTTGAAGGCGAACAGCAGCTCATTTAAGATATCAATATTTAACATACCCTGGTATTTAACATACATTGGTAGCCTTGGGAACAAGTTGTTTTTAGCAAATTTAGAAAGAAGTACTCAGCAGTTTCCAGTCTCAGGGTTGTATTATCCTGCTGAGCAACACCGCTGACTAAAACCGCAAAGGCTCAAGCAATATCAGTTCCTTTGACAGACTTGACATACAGTAAACCTCCGGTTGCGACCACCTCCCGTAAGCGACCGCCTCTCCTCAGGGACCAGTTTTCCAAAACACCAAAAGTTTCTAAGTCAAATCACTATATTTGGAACCTCTTGTAAGCGACCACCTCTCGAAAGCGATCGCGACCACTTTTAGAACTGAAAGTTTGAAATTTTCCTTTGTATTTAACCTCCCGTAAGCGATCACTTGACAGATAATAGAGCAGAATTTGGATAATGTGTTGTAACATTATCGCATTCCTGGGCAGTACAAGAGACGGACATTTCTCAATGGGAAGTACCGCATTTTTCTCAAAAGTGACTTTTCACACGAATAAA